TCCTCAAGGCCCGTCTGGGTTCTGAGAACCAGTGTCCAGAAGCTGTCACAGTGGCTCCTCTGCCGTACTCCATTGATCAAGCAACCACAGGCTGCAGATTCCAGGGGAAGGAGGGGCTAGGTTGCTCCCTGCCTCTTGATGGAAGGAACATCAAATAATTTGGGGGTCATGTTTGAAAACTGACACACCTGACTTCTGCAACATGCCTTCAATAATGTAAGGTTCCAGATGCTCCACCAGGCAGAAGGTGAATGAGTAGCAGTGGCTGCTAAGGACCACCCTTGTCATGCATGACTCCAGGCACCCAGAAGCACGCAGACCAACAAGGACCTGAAGCAGAGCCTCCCAGAGTCCTGGCTCCGGTGACAAATCTGTTGATGTGCTTTATTTGCCTGAAAGGAGAGGTTTTTATATAAAAATAACTATCAGCTGTATCAGTCCATTCTTGCATTGCTATAAAGAAATACCTGAGACTGGGTAATTTATGAAGAATATAGGTTTAATTGGCTCACGGTTCCACAGGCTGTACAGGAAGCACAGGAGCATCTGCTTCTTGGGGGGCCTCAGGAAGCTTCTAATTATGGTAGAAGGCGAAGGGGGAACAAGGCACTTCACGTGGCCAGAGTGCGAGGAAGAGACAGCGGAGGTGCCACACACTTTTAAACAATCAGATCTCGTGAGAACTCTACCACAAAAACAGCACCAAAGGGGGAAGTCCGCCCCATGATCCAATCACCTCCCACCAGGCATCACCTCCAATATTAGGGATATGATTCAACATGAGATTTGGGTGGGGATGCAGATCCAAACTATATCATCAGAGTTCCAAAACTGGTAGAAGATTTGGCAACACTGAACTGTTATTTCCAGATGGCCTTGCTGGCCAGAATGAGGAGCGACCACCGGATAAATCCTCTGGTTTACTGCAGTCCCCAACTTCTGAACCGGCTGCTGTGGGCCCTCAGGTTGGCAAACCCTAGGTCACGAATTCTAAGACATTAGAAAGGCATTGGGGAATAATCGTTCCCTAGTGGTTATTAGTGAACACAGTTCAGAGAGTACAGCTGGCAGGCAAATGCGTGGTGCTGATACGAAGCCCTCAGAAGATGTTCAGCTCTATAGGAAGAACAATCCCAGAAGGCTTTCCGGAGGAGGTGACAGCTCAGTAGTCCTGACAGATGAGAAGGACTTTGGGAGGCCAAGGCAGGAGGATCACTTGAGCCTAGGAGTTTGAGACCAGCCTGGGCAAGACTGAGACAGCATCTATACAAAAAAATTTTAAAATTAGCTGGATATGGTGGTGTGTGCCTACAGTCTCAGCTCTCAGGGGAGGCGGCTGAGGTAGTGTTACAGTAGGTAGCTAGTCAGACATGAGCAGGGCAGGAGAAGGCCCTGCCTCCCAATCAGGAATGTGAGGCGACCGTGAGGTGACGGTCAGGCGGTTGTTAACTCTCCCTCTAAAATAATGATAACTGGTTGCAACCAGTGCCAGGGAAAGCCAGTCTCCCAATAGATAGAAACATCTGAAGCTGGCGATCAGCCGCTTCCTGATAAGATCTCAGGAGCTGGGCGAGTGGGCTCAAGCATGTGCATTAAGAAGCAAAATGCTGGGGTTTAATTGGTGTACGACCTTCCTCTAGGAATGCTAGACTGGTAAGGGAAGAATGCCTCCAGTGAGCTTGTGCACAACCCCAGTAAACACACTGTGCTGGCAGGCCACTGCGCATGTGGACAGCCACCCAAAGGCAAGAATCAGGGGAGGAGGGACACAACCCCCAGAAGCACTCCAATGTATAAAGCCCCAAGTGAAAGATCAGACCACACACTCGCACCTCTCAAGTCGCCTGCCTGGCCCTCTTTTGAGTGTATTTTACTTCCTTTTGTTCCTGCTCTAAAACCTTTTAATAAACTTTCACTCCTGCTCTAAAACTTTCCTCAGTCTCTCACTCTGCCTTATGCACTTTGGTCAGACTCTCTCTTCTGAGGGGACAAGAACTGAGGTTGCTGCAGACCCGTATGGATTCACCACCACTAACTGTGGGAGGATCACCTGAGCCCAGGAGGGCAGGGCTGCAGTGAGCCATGACTGAGGCACTGCACTCCAGCCTGGGCGACAGAGTGTGGCCTTGTCTCAAAAGAAAAGAAAGAAAGATGGGAGGAGTTGTAAATGTTCAGGCCTCCAGAAGCTAATGAGTTTGGTCTCTAGTTGGACATCTGAACTTTGAGACCAGAAAAGAAGGAGAAGCAAGTTTCCTCTGCATATCTCTCCCTGCAATCCCAAATCCAATCTCTGCAATCCCTGGTGGAAATAAAAAGCAAAAATGGAGGCACTAGTAGATGATGATTTGAAAAAAACCCAAAGATGCCACGATATTGTCCTCACTGCTGGCCATCCTGCCTCAAATGTCACCATCAGCACCACCATGTAGAAAGCACTTATTACTTGAGGCGGAGGTCGTTTCTTCACATAAATCATTCATTTGTCCATCAGTCTGAGGCAGTGTGGATTCATTAAGCCACCAGATTAGCTAGCATAGAGAAGGAGTGCCTGGAAGGAGACAGGGGAGTGAGCGTTGCTAAAGTGCAGAGAGCTGTCCTGGGCGGTGCTCTCTGCTGGGAGCAGAGCCCAGAGGGGAGCGCTGAGCACACTGGGTGGAGGGTCAGACAGGAGGCAGGAGGAAGAAGGTGAGAGCCTCAGGGGCCACCATTCTGCAGGACCTCAATCTCTCTTTTCCAACTGTAATTTCCTCTTCCACTGACCTTAGTGTGGACCTCTTCACACTAAAGTTCTGGAAGTCTAGGATTCCATAAGTCTAATCTTCCAAAATACCACGATCCCAAGATCTCACGGATTCTTAGAGTTGCAAGATCATTTTCTTAAGTATGGAGATAAAGAAGATAAAGTAATGATTAAGATGGCATTATCTTTGAAAATGCCATCAAAGATAATGCGGTTCTAAGGTTCTGCAGTTCTCCAGGGTCTAAGTTTTAAAATTCAGTCCTTCTAAGATTGTATTAAGCCATCAACGTTTCCCATTTAGACTGAGCTGGAAGCCAGCAATCTGCAGGGAATCCAGTGATTTCTCTATGTGCTACCTGTACTGCTATTTTTCTTTACATTTAACATTTAAATTTAATTTAAAGTTTTTTTCTTTGGACTTAATCTCATTCTAAATAATAATAGTACATGAAGCTGTGAGTTTGAAGGACAAATTCTATTTCTCTAAAAACCTACCAAATAAGCTCTGGTAACGTAGCTCCTGGCACCTCAAACCATCTCAGGCACCACAAGCAATTGAAATACCGCATTTCAGAAGCCATTGCCAACGACGCCAGTCCCTCAACCCCCAACCAATTTCTGCAGGAGAGAGCAAAGCCATCCGTTTACAAATGGGCCGCAGGTCACACCTACGGCAGGAATTCTTTGGGCTCTGAGAATGTGAGGTCCACCCACGGGTCTCCAGGGAAGGTCGTGCCCTGCTGGGCGGAGGTCGGAGTCTGGAGGTCGGGCGTCCTGCTGAGTGGAGTCTCTTGTGGACTGGAGCCAGCGGGGACCCTATGCAACACCGCCATCTAGTGGCCAGAGTGTAAGGCACCGAGGGCGAAACATTGAGACACGTTTGCAGGTCCTGAAATTGGGAAAGTTGGAGAAAAGATAAAGGGACTAATGATTTAGAAACAAATAATTCGATAAAAACAAAATAAATTGTAACATGGAATCTAATCAAGTCCTAAATGGGCAATTCAGAAACAACTTATGTGTTCACTGTGGGGGCTTGGTTAAAGAAATGATGGGATATCATCTTAGGGAATAGTGTGTAGGCATTGTGATGAGTGCCATGAGCACCATGCTGACATGGAAAGATGCTCAGCTGAGTGGGGAAAAGAGCAGGAATCAGAGAGTCACCATGCAACTTATGCAAAATATAAGTATAGATCCATTTCGGGCACACATCTAGAGAGAATGTCCCCACCTTACCATCTTTCCCATGGCAGTAAATGCACCCCATTCACATGGCTGCTCAAGCCAGAAACCTATAAATCACTCAACCTTATGTCCCCCACCCTGACTGTTACACCAGTGCGTCGCCAAGTCAGTTCTGTCTCTGAAGCCCACCCACTTCTATTCCTCTCCACGACTACCACCTCCGGCCGAACCAGCATGTGTCTGGCCTGGGTGACTGCAGGGGCCTCCAACCTTGCCCTTCTGCATTTTCCAGCCCACAGCCCAGAGAACAGCCCCAGCGCCAACTGGATCATGCTGCTTCCCTGCTTAAACTCCTCCTGTGGTTTCCTGCCTCACTAGAATAAAAGCCCCCTCAAGCCAACCTTGTTCCATACCCTTGACCCCTTCTCGCTCTGCTCCTGCTCACTGGGCCCCTTCAGCTCCTCAAAGTTTTTGAGTTCTTTCCCATCCTGGTCTTCCCACCCCGTGCTGGTTCCCGGCCCTGAGACTTTCCTGGCCATGCCCCTCCCCTGCCAATCTCTACTCAAACCTGGGAACAATGTCCCTTCCTCAGAGCAGGCTCTGTGGGTGATACGGGATTTCGTCTTTGTATCTTCTGATCTGTTTGGGAAACAAGTATTATTTTGATATGATCGAAACAATCAGATAGACCATTGGCACACAGTGAGTTCAGAGTAGGGGGAGGCTCAAAGGCCAGGGAAGGCTTCCTAAGGGAGGTGGAGCTTGAAGAACAGGAAGCATTGAGCCCAGGAAAGCAAACAGAATTCTAGACAGGGAAACTGGAATGAAGGTATAGAGGTGGCAGGTCAGCTAGAAGACGGGGCACCTGCTGATTTTGCTTGTTTAACACCCTTAATTCTGGTTGTAACACCCATTTTTTTTCCTCTGAGGGTGCACATTTCCCACATCCTCAGATCATGTGTTTCCAGTGAGGTTGATTCTCATTATGGGTGTGTGAATTCAGCTGGGCCAATGAGAACCTTTCCTGAGATTGTTGCTTCACCTGTTGAAAAAAGTGTTGTCTTTCCAACAGAGTTGTCAAGCTGGAAGGATGCAGGCCCAATCTTTGCCGCCACAAAGGAAGACAATAAAACCCATACAGGAGAAAACAGAGTCACAGATGGAGACAATCACATTCCTGGTGACAATGTTTGAGCACCTGGATCCAGCCCAACCTAAGGCCATTTTCTCTTATGCTTTTTAGATCTGTGAACCAATAAATCCCTGCTTTAAGGGTTGGGCTAGTTTATCATGAGTGTCTATCATTTAAAACCCAAAGATTCCTAAGTTCTACACTAAGCTGGCTGGAACAGAGGCTTGCTGTGGAAGACAGTGAGGGAGGCTGAGCAGACACAGCAGAAACAACAAATGTCATGGCCATTCTTTGGAGGCAAGGCCTTTTTCCCAGTGGACTGAAGCATCTAGTGTGGGAATTGGAGAGTCTGAATCTCTGAGCCAAGCCAGAAATCTGAAACAACGATAGGCCCTCTCTCTTGACTGCCCACAAGCCACATTCTCCCTTCATTGACCCAGAAATCCTTTGAAAGGAGACCCAGGGACAGAAATGGCCTGGAGCAGCTCCTGTTCTTGGCTTATTGGGGTTCTGGAAGGAAACCATCTAAGTCTTCCCAGACCGCACTGGGAAGGCCAAGAATCCACAAGACAACTGGCCAGGGGGAGAAATGGGTGAGGGTGGGGAACCATTCGGGGCATTTTCCACTACTCTTTCCCTGTTTGTTTGTGGTCGGTCTGACTGCTCCTGAGGGCCCTGGTCTCTGGCAGGGGCGGGGAGGGAGTCCTGCGGGGCTGGTGGAGGAAAGGGACACAGGCCTGTAGCTCTAGCCCAGAGTTGGGGCCCTCCTAGGAACTACAGGATGGTATGATACGTGGAGACATCCCCAGGGTCCTGAAGGGGCAGTACCTATGTCCTGTGCCCTCCCATCATGCCCAGCACAGTGCCTGCCACAGGGTTATATGCATGGCACTAGTTTCCATTTAGAAAACAAATCCCAAGTCCTTGCTGGGAGTGAGTAGAAGAGGACTTCACAAGAACCGAGGTGCATGATCATGTCAGTGTCACTGACTTGTGTCTTTGGGGCTGACTTGTGCCTTTGGGGCTATCTCCCACTCTGACCCTCCTGTAACCATCTCATCCGGTCTCCACAAGGGCAGGACTCCCTCTGAAACCTCTGGCCTGACACTAGCCACATACCACTTTCCAGCTTTCGAGAGCTGCAGCTGAAGATGCTAATGAAAATCAATACATATGGGCAGAGATTAGTTAAAATTCAACACTTAATCATGTTTTTTTTTTTTTAACTCTCAGCAAAAGAGGCACAGAGGAGAACTTTCTTAATCTGATAAAGAGTTTCCATTAAGACACCTGTGTGTGCGCGCGCTCACACACACACAACTAACATCATCATTAATGGTAAAATACTGAATGCTTTTCTCCTAAGGATAGGAACAAGAAATGGATGTCCGCCACTATCATTTCTACTCAGCATTGTACAGTAGAGCCCAGTTGTTTCAATGAGGCAGAAATAAAAATAAAAATAATAAAGATTAAAATAAAGCATATAAACTCATTATTTAAGATGATAATATTGTATGTGGAAAAAATCCAAAATCCAATAATAACCTATTAGTATTAATGAGTAAGTTTAGCAAGGTTGCTGGATAGAATCAACATACAAAAATTAGTTTAGTTTGTATGTGCTAGCAACAATTAGCAAATGAAAATTTTGATGTGCCATTTACAATAATACCAAAATAATCACCAAGTACTTATGAGTAGGTCTAATGAGAGAAGCAAAGACCTCTATGATGACACAAAACTTTGTAGAGAAATTAGAGAAGACCTAAATAGAGGACTGTAGCCTGCTTATTGTTTGACCAGCTTAATATTATTACAATATTAAGTTGCCAAATTGATCTGTATGTTCCAGCAGGTATTTACAAGAAAATTGGCATGCTGCTTTCAAAATTTATATGGAAATTGCAAGGACCTAGAATAGGTAAAGCGATCTCACAAGAGTACGAAGCTGGATGACTTACTGTACTGGATGTCAAGGGTTTTTTCTAAATCCAGAGTAAGAAGACAGTGTGGCATACTGTGATCCTAGTCATGTGGACCAATAGAACAGAGTAGGGAGCCCAGAAACAAACCCACACGTGTTCAATCCCTGGATTCACAGGAAAGATGCACAATTCAGTGAGGAAAGGTGATGTTTAATAAATGGTATTAGTTCAACTGGATAGTCATGTGGGGGAAAATGAGCCTACCTCAAATCATACCCCAAAATTAATTTGAGATCCATCATAGACCTAAAGTAAAACAAAACATCTTCTAGAAAATAAAATACAAGAATATCTTCATGACCCTAGGGTAGACAAACATTTCTTAACCAAACAGGTTGAGAGATGTTTGAAATACATCTATGAAAAAAAAAACTAATATCCAGAACATATAAAGAACTTTTATAAATTAATAAGAAAAAGACAGGCTAGGCACAGTGGCTCATGTCCTAATCGCAGCACTTTGGGAAGCCGAGGCAGGAGGATCACTTGAGCTCAGGAGCTTGAGGCCAGTCTGGGCAACACAGTGAGACCATGTCTCTACTAAAATAAATAATTAAAAAAAAAGCTGGGTGTGGTAGTGGCACCTGTGCTCCCAGCTACTTGTGTGGGTGAAGTGGGAGGATTTCTTGAGCCCCGGAGATCCAGACTGTAGTGAGCCATGATCACGCGACTGCACTTCAGCCTGGGCGACAGAGCAAGATCCCGTCTCTAAAAAAGAAAAAGAAAAAGACAGACATCCCAGTTTTTAAAGTGGGCAGAAAGCTGTGAACAGAGACTGCACCAAAGAGCACATCTAAATAGCCAATTATCATATAAGCATTATTAGTCATCTTGGAAATGCAGATTAAAGTCACAGGAAGATGCTGTCACACTCCTCACTAAAATGGCTAGCAGGTGTGGTACACTGGCAAGTACACTGCCGTCAGCAGGCGGCCTTCAGCTTCTCCAAGGTCTGCCTCTGCTAGGAGAGCCACCCCGCTCTAGGCCATGGCCCTCCTGTGACAGCCCAGATCAGGTGGCTGAGTGCAGCAGGGCTTAGAGGTCAGCCTTTTGTTTCCACTGGATGTGGGTCACGCTGCTGGGCAGTACTCACGCCAGCTCCCTGCTGGGTTAACTGGGGCTTTGTCTAGCCTGCATCACAGCTCAGCTCCTCCCTCCGCCCCATCTTGTTCCTTCCTTTTCTCTTCACAGGTGGGGATCCCCAATAACAATCTCCAGACCCAAACTCCGTGGCCACATCTGCTCCCAGAGAAACCAACCCACACAGTGAGGATGTGGGTATGGAGCAACTGGAAGCCTCAACTATTGCTGTTTGGATCATCACTTAACCTCACCTGAGAAAACTTTTGGCAGAATTATATTATATATTAATGTTCTAATGCTAAACTCAATCTACATGGACCCTAAGACCCAGCACATTCTCTTCTAGGTAGATGCCCAGCTGAAATCAGTGCTTATGTCCCCAGAAGCCCTGTTCACAGAAGCCTGATGCGTGATAGCCACAACTGGCAACAGACCAAATGTCCATCCCCAGGAGAATGGATAGACACGGGGGGTGGGGGCAGTTCAGTGCAATGCTTACAGCTCATAAAAAGGAAAAAGGCTGCTGCTACACACAACATGGATTCAACGCACGGGCTTTATGTTGAACAGAGGAGACCAGGCACAGAAGAGTGCACACATCCTGTGTGTATACACACAGTACACGCAACGTGTGTGGCTCCATTTATGTGGTGACCAAAACCAGGCACAACTAATCTGTAATGATAGGAGTCTGGAGAATGGAGAAATTGAGGCTGGAGGGAGCTTGCTGGGGAGCTGCAAGTGTCCAATATATTGGTTGATCCTGGGGGTGGTTGTGTGCATATATACAGAGGCAAAAGTTAATCAAACTCTACCATTAAGATGCGTGCACTTTACTGAATGTTACACCTTGATTAAAAAAAATAAGTTAAGAAATAGAAGAAGTTCCAAGCCTTCACAATGATCCACATTTATTGAGAAGTTACTGTGTTTCAGGGTCATTTCATGCAGCAGATCACTCCATGTACACACACGCACACACACACCAACAAATACATCCTCAACACACACACACCTTAGCACATACATACTCCAACACATACACACCCTAATACACACACCCCAACACACACATATGCCCTCAACACACACCCCAACACACACACCCTCAAAACACATACACTCCCTAACACACACATACTCCAACACACACACACACCCGAACACACACCCCAATACCTACCCCAACACGCACACTCCAACACACACACCCCAATACACATATACCCCAACACACACCCCAATGCACACTCCAATACACATCCCAACACACACATTCCAACACACATCCCAACACACATCCCAATGCACACACACCCAGCACACACATACACCCAACACACACACACCCCAACAAACACATACTCCAACACATATATGCCCCAATGCATACACACCCCAACACACACACACACAGCAACACACGCATACTCCAACACACACATACTCCAACATGCACATACTCCAACACACACCCCAATACACACACACACACCGATACACGCATACTCCAGCACACACACCTCAATGCACATACGCCCCAACACACACAACCCAACACACACATCCCAAAACACACATTCTGACACACACATACTCCAACATACACACCCCAATACCCACAAACCCCAACAAACACACAATCCCCCCACAGACACCAACACACACATACTTCAACACACATACCCCAACACACACCTCAAAACACATACCCCCAGCACACACAGAACCCAACACAAACACACCCAACACACACAGCTCAATACACACACAACCCAATGCACTCATACACAGACACACACACACGCACACACACACTCTAACACACCCCCAACTTCGAGGTACAGCTAAAAGCTGAGCCTGGGGAGAAATAAGAACCATAGATGCAGTCATGTGGGCTAAACTCTGTGATCCAGTCGTCTTGTCCTTAAAGTGGAAGTGATACTGGTCCCCACCTCCCAGAGATGTGATCACAGACAAGCTATTAGGGACACAAGACACTAGACACAGGGCCAGGTGCACCCAAGGCTCTCAGAATGTAAGGACTGGCCATTTCAGGACCTGCTGAAGGAGGGCAGGCCCAAG